AAATACAAAAGTAGAACCTGGTGTAGAAAATGCTTTGGAAATGTCTAATCTTTACCATCGGGACCATTGATTTACAGCATCTGAATAAGGAAGGACGACTCCATTATCCAAAACTTTTAAGGATTGCAATCTGCTCAATTATCTGTGGAATTCGCAAACCAGCCAGCTTAGCTAAAGAAAAATTGACTCAATTATTTTAAAAGGAAAGGCCAGAGACTCTAAATACACATTTGGTTATTTGCTCAGTAGCTCATATTGTGGGAATGTTAGAATTGTGGTTAAATCTCTATGCTAGTAATCCAAGTGATAGAGCTAATAATCTGGAAAGGTGGATTAACATCCCATGACACCAGTTGAGGAATTTTAAATGCACTTCAATAAATCAAAAATCTAAAGCTAGACTTGGTAATGGTGACTGTGAAACTTCTGGATTGTTGATTTTAAAATTCTGTCTGGTTCATTTAGCACCTTTTTTATTAAGAGAAGGAAATCTGTCCAGACTCTTGGGCTTGTAATTGGCTGCTAACCTCCCTCTGACCTAGCCTCTTGGCTATTGAGAAGATGGTTTCATCAGTATAGTTAGCATTAGCAATAAACACCCAAGTGCTGGAGAAACTCGGAAGGTCTGGCAGCATCAGTGGAGAGTGAAACAGAGTTAACGTTTCAAGTCCAGTGACCCGTTGTCGGAGACAGGGCCTCAGTTTAACATCGCGTCTGAAAGCCAGCACCTCTGACAACGCAGCCCTCCATCAGTACTGAGCTGGAGTTCAACAGTCAGCAGTGGGACTTGAACCCTCAAACCTCTGATTCAGAGATGAGATTGCTACCTACTGAAGCAGGAGGAGAGGAAGGAAATATTCACTGACTTTTGCAGATGCGCCACAGAGAGCATTCTATCTGGGTGCCGCATGGCAACTGCTCTGTCCAGGAGCATAAGAAACTATAGAGAGTTGTGTGCACAGCCCAGTCCATCACAAAAGCCAACCTTCCATCCATCTACAGTTCTCATTGCTGCGGAAAGACTGTCAACATCATGAAAGACCCCTCCCACCCCAGCAATGCTGTCTTTCAAGCTCTTCCATCAAGCAGAAGGTACAGAGGCTTAAATGAACACAGCAACAGGTTCAAGAACAGCTTCTTCCTTGCTGTTATTAGACTTCTGAATGGACCTCTCTAATTTCAAATCTAACGTTGATCTTGCTTTTGTGCACCTCCTGTGCAGCGTAACCTTGTTTGCCTCGCTCTGACTAAGCACCCTATGATTTATTTGTCCGTGTATGTTGTGATCTGCAAAACAAAACTTTTCACTGTACTTAGGTATAAGTGACAGCAATAAATCAAATCATTTTCTAGAAAACAAAGGACAACTGTTGCTGAAAGTAATTTAACAGCGAAGGAATCCCTGCATGGTTTATCTCCCAGTTCACTCTTTCCCCCCCAACCCCATGCACCTGCAAATCAGCAGAAAATGAGGCCAAATGTTGGGAGTGAATTGCGTTTTACTGGGTTTTGTGATGAAATTCCTTCTGTAGAAAACAGATCATGATTTGACCCTGAAATCTCTCAAACAGCAGACCCCTGCCTAGCCAGCTTTGGGGTTCTTCAAAGTTTGAATGGTCAACCTCTCTTTTAGGGTTTTAAGCCAGTTTTTGACGTTTGGTGTTTTGCTGTTGCCTGTCATGCTTAAGGGTGAGCCAAGGAGCTAGATTCTAAGGTCTGATTCGGTTGGAGCAGGAATCAGGCTGTTATTTTACGCTTCACAGTGTCCATCTAACCAACTGAGCTAATCAGTCACAGGAGGAAATTATCCTTCGTGACTTCAAGTTAAGCTGATGGATTTTAGCCATTGAACCTTGTTGGTGTCTACTATTGTGCTGAGGAACTCAGTTTATAAAACCCATCAAGGTAATCGATTTGCCAAAAAAGCAGTTCTGAAGAAGTTTCACTGGACCCGAAACTTTTACTCTGCTTTCTCTTCACGTGTGATGCCAGACCTGTTGAGTTTTCCCAGCAATTTCTCTGTTTGGGCCATAAAGTAGACATTGCTTGGCATGTGGCTTTGTGTTGACACTGCTTGGCTGCCTGATCAAATGGCCTCACCAAGTCAAAGCAGCCCATTTGATTGGCACCCCAACCACCGCTGACACACACAAGCGTGTCGTTGAGTGTCCTGTAGAAGGTGTACTGCTGCAAGTGGCTGTGACTCCTTCGATGCGAACCTTCCAAATCCACAACCTCTACCACCCAGAAGGACAAAGCAGCAGAGGCATGGGATCACCACATCTACAAGTATACCCCCAAACCCCACATCGCCCTGAGTTAGAAATGCATCACCCGTTTCTTTCACTGTCGCTGGGTCAAAGTCTTGTAACTTCCTCTTGAGCAGCACTGTGGGCGTGCCGACAAGGAGTGCAGCAGTGAGAGATGCTGGCTCAGCACTGCCTCCTCCTGGGCAATCAGGAATAGACAACAGATGCTGGCTCTGTCCATATCCCATGAAAGAGCAAAACAAAATCTCAGGCTTTTAATTGGTAAAGGTTATGGAGGAACAGTTAGATTTTGAGTTATAAGGAGAGGCTGCATATAATTATTGAATCATGACAGTGTGGAAGCAAGCTATTTGGCCTATTGAGTCCATACCATCCTTCCAAAGGGCATCCTACCCAGGCCCATCCCCATAACCCCTGCATTTCCCATGGTTTTACACCCAACTCTCACATTCCTGGGCACTATGAGCAATTTAGCACAGCCAATCCACCTAACCTGCACATCTTTGGACTGTGGGAGGAAACCCATGCAGACACAGGGAGAATGTGCAAACTCCACAAAGAAAGTTGCTGGAGGGTGGAATTGAATCTGGGTCCCTGGTGTCATGAGGTAGCAGTGCTAACCACTGAGCCACCGTGCTGCTGCAGCTTTTTTTCTCTGGAGCGTCGGGGGCTGAGGAGTGACATTATAGAGGTTTGCAAAATCATGAGAGATTAGATGAATAGCCAAAGTCTTTTCCCCAGGGTCGGGGAATCCAAAACCTAGGGCTTAGGTTTAAGATGAGGGGGGGAAATATTTAAAAGGGACCTGGGGGACAACTTTTTCACACAGAGGGTGGGGCGTGTATGGAACGAGCTGCCAGAGGAGATCGTAGAGGTAGGTAAAATTACAACATTTAAAAGGCATTTGGACAGGTACATAGATAGGAAAAGTTTAGAGAGATATGGACCAAACGCAGGCAAATGGGACCAGTTCAGTTTAAGAAAACTGGTCAGCATGGATGAGTTGGGCTGAAGGGCCTGTTTCCATGTTGTGTCCCTCTCCGAGGTTTCCAAACATTAGAATATTAGTTCACACTTCATGTCCCTAATTCACCAAAGTTTATGAAAGTATGGCTGCGCATTTGAACATGTAATTCATTTTAAATACTACATTCAGTAAGCAAGATTCTTGGAAGAATATCTAAAGTTGGTATCATGTGATGGATTAAGGACAGATGGTAATGTCACTGGGTTAGGACACCAGAGGTCTAAGTTAAAGTTCTGGGTCATGAGTTCAAATCCCAGCAGCTGGTAGAATTTAAATTCAATTAATAAATGCAGTTGTTTGTTGCCTCACTAATGATGATCATAAAACTATCGTTGTTTAAAAATCCATTTGGTCCACCACTGTCCTTTAGGGGAGGAAATCTGCTGTTCTTATCCTGACTGCCCTCTGTTTGATTCCAAATCTATAATGAATGCCCTCCAAAATTCTTATTAGTTTCAAGGGCAATTAGCAAATGCAGAAGAGATTTACCAGGTCGTGGCCGGGACTGGTGGGTTTGAGTTATGGGAAGAGGCTGGATAGGCTGGGAATTTATTCACTGGTGTGTTGGAGGTTGAGGGGTAACCTTATGGAGATTTTATAAAATCATGAGGGGCATAGATAAGGTTAATCGCAGGTGTGTTTTCCCTAGGGTGGGGTATTTCAAGACAACAGGGCATATTTTTAAGCTGAGAGGAGAAAGGTTTAAAAACAGCATGAGGGACAATTATTTTTTACAGAGAGTGGTTCGTATGTGGAATGAACTTCCAGAGGAAGTGATGGATGCGGGTACAATTACAACATTTAAAAGACATTTGGATAAGTTTATGAGTAAGAAATGTTTGGAGGGATATGGGCCAATTGCAGGCAGGTGGAACTAGTTTAGTTTGGGGTTATGGTTGGCATGGATTGTTTGGGCCGAAGGGTCTGTTTCCACGCTGTATGACTCTGTGTGAGTCTAAATACCAATCACAATAGGATTTAAAACGGAAATTGGTGGAGAAACTCAGCAGGTTGGGCAGCATCTGTGGCGAAAGAGACAGAGCTAAGGTTTCAAGTCCAGTGACCCTTCTTCAGAACTGGAAGTATTTATGTACGTTTTTCTAGCTGCTATCAGTTTTGGAGAAGGGTCACTGGACTCGAAACACTAACTCTGTTTTCTCTGCACAGATGCTGCCAGACCTGCTGAGTTTTTCCAGTAGTTTGTGTTTCTATTTCAGATCTTCAGCACCTGTAGTTCTTTGTTTTACAGTAGGATTTAAAATCAGTGTGATATCCACTCAAACACCACAGTTTGCAGATTGTCAAAAACTCCTCAACAGTAAAGATGGCGGAGTTGGAGTGTTTAAGGCCATGGAAGGATTTGAGAGATACAAACTGTTTCCTCTGTTGCAGCAGGAGCAATGGTAAAAACTATCTGGGTTTGAAGAAGTAGTGAGAACTGCAGATGCTGGAGTCAGAGATAACACAGTGTGGAGCTGCATCAACGTCTCGAAACATCAACTTCCCTGCTCCTCTGCTGCCTGGCCTGCTGTGTTTCTCCAGCTCCACACGGTGTTACCTCTGGGTTTGATGAGTGTAATGGGGCAAAGTTGCCCAAATGTCAAGAAGGAAGTGTATTAAATAGCAACGACCATGTTGGCCTGGAGATGGTACAGTCAAGAGTGGTTAACGTGAGCCCTGTTTTTTTTCTTTTGTCTTGACAGCCTGGCTTAACAACTGGAGAAGAATTGAACCTGGTTCTGACTGGAAACTCTCAGTTCCATCATCAGGGGATGAAGCTGGAAGCTGTGATGGAGCATTTGCAAAGGCAGCAGCAAGCTCGCTTGGAGATGGAGGGCAGGGAGAGGAAGGACCGGGACATCCGCAACGCCCGCATCTTCTACGCTCAGCAGCTGGCCAGTCAGCAGGCCACCCTGGCAGCCTCGTCCAGATCTCCACCAGGGTCACCGCTTGTCACCACCCTGACCCGCCAACCGGCGCCCGTCGCTCCGCCAGGATCCGATAAGAGCAGCGTGGACTCAGAAGCCGAGGACGATGCCTTTGAGCAGGAGGATGCCGCGAGTGACCTGGAGGACGAGGACGCGGTGAGGGGCGATCTCGACGAGGAGGACGACGAGGGAGAGGAGGACGCGGCCTATCTCAGGAAACGGCCTGCCGCTGCGTTGTCCAATCAGAGGCCCCCACCCACCCACCGTCCATCCGTTAGCGGACAATCCCAACAGCAGGGAAACAGTCAACCCATCTCCCCAAGCCCAGCACATTCGAAATCTCCAGCTAGCCATCACGATTGGGGTTATGAAGAGCAGTTCAAACAGGTAGGACTTTCCCATTGCATGCATGGATTTCAGAAGACAGTTAGCAGAGTTAAACAGACTGTGTATTGCAAAGAGGTATCTCACTTCATTGTGCACTAGAGTGGGGTAGAACGTAGTCCGGTAGTAGCCCTGTCTGGAAATCCAGCTTCTTCCTAATGTCAAACTTGGACTTTCTGGCACCTGGATTCTGATGTTCTCTTCCCAATGACACATCACACAAGCTGATCTTGATATGTGTGCAGTGACCTCCAAAGGCACGTTCAGACTGCAGTTGTACACTGGCTCAATGTCCATTGACTTTTGGCCATTTTGTATATCTATTTTACCAGGTATCCCCATGGCGATACAGTCAGTCTTGGATATGCAACTTACCTCTCCCATTTCACAAAGGAGAAATGAATTTCCTAAAGGACTCTCGCAGCACAATCTTTCACAATTGTAATTGCCACACAGCTGTGTCAAGTTGGGTACTGAAACCAGTTGTAAAGTCAATGTTAGTGCACCTAAATTAATGTCAAAGCAGTTCTGATCTAGCTAGTTAATGAGTAGTTTAAAGAGCGCTGTGTGTGTGTGTGTGTGTGTGTGTGTGTGTAGTGTCTCTGACTCTCACTCCCATCAGACGAGGGTCCACCCTGCTTTCTGCTCTGCAGCAAACGTTACTTGTGTGCTTCTGAATGAAGTCGAGAGATGAAGAGTCTTCTGGTGAAGCTGCTCCTCGTCTCTCCATAGCTTTTCTTGAGAACCCTCGCCAAGGCATTCTTTCCATCCTAAGTTGAGCTTTTCGATAAGCACGGTCGCATTTTCAACATGCATTTCTATCTGTTGAAATGACTGCAGCGGGGTGAAGAATGTAAGGTCTAGAGGAGAGTGTGAGCGATGTGGCTGCTTTGTGCCTTCTCCATGTGATCTTTCAAGATTGCAGTTGGAAAAGTAGCTTAAGGATGACTTCCAGGATAACGGATCAGGGCTGCCCTTGTTCCACTGCATGCTTTCTGCACAAAGGTTGAGGCAAGTTGGGAATTTTTCAGTTTCGTAGCACAGGAAAGCATGAAGTAACCAGGCATGTAATCAGTGAAGGTGCCTTTAGCTGAATTCAACCTCATTGCTGGCGTTTGAACACGTGAATGGGACCTGGCCTGCATGTTGGTGACTCACATTTGCAGCAGTGACTTGATTTGTTACATCACACAGACCAGAGATAATTTTTTGTAGAACATAGAATCCCTACAGTGTGGAAACGGGCCCTTCTGCCCAACAAGTCCACACCAACCCTCAGAGCATCCCAACCAGACCCATCCCTGCTATAACCCACCCAATCTACACACCCCTGAACACTGTGGGCAATTTCCCATCGCCAATTCACCTAACCTGCACATGTTTGGACTGTGGGAGGAAACCGGAGCACCCGGAGGAAACCCACACAGACAGTCGTCTGAGGGTGGAATCGAACCCGGGTCCCTGGCGCTGTGAGGCAGCAGTGCTAACCACTGAGCCACCATGCCATTGTTTTCATCTCTTGCTTGGAGGAAGCTCGCTCACAGAATCTCAGAACTTGGTTATGGTGTAGAAGGAGGCCATTCGGTCCATCCAGCCTGCCCGGCTCATTAGCTAAGCATCACTGCACTCGTGTTCATTAGGAAGTTGACTCCAAGGGAACACATTCTCCATTGTGATACTGCCTCTGAAAGTAACAGGGGTGAACTATAAATTTTGGGAATCTGAAGGAATCCAAATTTGAGGCAGAGGGGGCCATTAGGCGCATTGTACTTATACCCACTCCTCAAAAGAGCTAGCAATTAGTTCCCCTTTCCCTCCAACTTTGCAAAAGTTCTCCTTTTCTCAGTGAAAGGAGATCCAATTCAATTTTGAAAGTTATTGTTGATTTTGCTTCTCACACCCTTCCAATTCAGTGTATTCTCTCTAAACAAAGCAAAAATTCCCTGCTGACTTCTCTTGCCAGTTAGCTTGAATGTATCTTCCCTGATTAACGACCTTCCTGCCAGCGGAGAGAGTTTCTCCCTGTACTTTCAGTCAAAAATAAAAGCCTGGTTCTGTATGTATGGAAGGAGCCGCCAGAGGAAATGGTGGAGGCTGGAACAATTACAACATTTAAAAGGCATCTGGAAGGGTGTATGAATAGGAAGGATTTAGAGGGATATGGGCCAAATGCTGGCAAATGGGACTAGATTAATGTAGGATATCTGGTCAGCATGGACGAGTTGGACCGAAGGGTCTGTTTTCGTGCTGTACAGCTCTATGACTCTGTCTACGGGGTTGGCACTGTGACCTGGTGGATGCCGCAATTACACACCCCTGAAGAGCAAAGCTGTGGATTGGGATTCTAGCTGGATCTATAATTCTGTAAATACAGCATCAGACCCATAGACTTTTTGTAAAATTAATTCTATATTCAACACTTTTAGTTTTCTTGAGCAAAGTTTATTTGCTCAAATAATCCAGAGGCCTGGACTTAATTCAAAAAAAAATTTTTGACAGGGTATAGTTTTTTTTTAATTCATTCACGGGATGAGGGCGTCACAGGCTAGGCAGCATTTATTGCCCATCTCTAATTGCCCAGAGGGCAGATAAGAGTCAACCGTATTGCAGCGAGCCTGGAGTCACGCGTAGGCTAGACCAAGTAAGGATGTGCTATCATCCAGAAAATAAATGGGGAAGGAGTGACTCCAACCTCCTTTTGGATGATATGATATCTGTGTGCTTGAACGTCCTAAGGATGTGACGGGAGAGGAAGCAGGGGTGGATTTCCAGCAAAGTGCCTAGATGTGAAAGGAGCCCTTTAGGGTTATCTGCCCACAGCCAAACCTCCTCCTCAACTGGGGGGTGGGGAATGAATGAATGACCAGGGTGTTATCTTGTGGGAGCTTGCTGTGTGCCAGATGGTTGCATGATGTGACAGCATTGGGGAGGGTGTTGAGACAGCGCTCATGAGAACAAACTGCAATTATTTGGATGGACTGGGAAACCCGGGGCTGTTCTCCTTCAAAGAGATTGTGAGGAGGTTGCACGGAGCTCGTAGAATCCCTGCAGTGCAGAAAGAGGCCATTTGACCCATCGGGTTTACACCAACCCTCCGAAGGACATCCTACCCAGACCCATCCACTCCGCCCTCCCAACCGATCCCCATAACCCTGTATTTTCTTTGGCTAACCCACCCAGCCTGCATATCCCTGGATGCTATGGGCAATTTAGCATGGCCATTCCACCTTAACCGGTGCAGTCTAGACTGAGTCTACAAGTAGGAACTGTTCCCATTGCCAGTAGGCTTGTGAACTAAAGGACATTGACTTTAAATGATTGGCGAAAGAAGCAATGGTAGAGGGAGCAGCGACACTTATCCCTAGTGTCTTGGACTGTGACACAAACAGAAAATTACTGGAGAAACTCAGCAGGCCTGGCAGCGTCTGTGGAGAGGGGAAGAAGAGTTGATGTTTCGAGTCCAATGTATTCCAAAGAAGGGTCACCAGAGACGAAACACTAACTCCGTTTCTCTCTCCACGGTTGTTGCAAGACCTGCTGAGCTTCTCCAGCACTTGACTGTTTTTGTTTCAGATCTTCAGCATCCGTGGTTCTTTATTTTTGAGACATAGACTGCGCTTGGACAGTGAGGATTCAGTACAGGCCTCGAAAAGAGCACTGGAGAACTGGAGAAGAAATGTTTGGAGGAGTATAGCAGCAGACTGAGGGCAGACACGATGGGCCAAATGGCCACAGCATAGACTCAGACAGCTCTCTGATTACAACAGTGATTGCATGTTGAAAGTACTTCCTTTACTTGTGAAACGCTTTGGGAAATCCTGATGTTGTGCAAGTGCCAATAAAAATGTAAGTCTTTCTCTCTGTGGTTTCCTCTGAATTCCTCAGGACTGGCATAATTTGAAGCCCAGGTATAAAAGTTCCCTCTTTCTTTCAAAAACTGTTCAATTGTGTGGAAGCCATTCTGTCTGTGCCCAGGTTTGTTACTCTTCAGTAGGAGGTAGTAATGGATCAGGAAGACAGATGAAAAAAGTTTGGTGACCACTTGTAGCAAAATGTACCACATTGCGATTTTGGCAGTGCTAAACTGATGCTAGGTCTAATGACCATTAAATACGTTTCCTTCACTCAGAGTCTGAACGGGCAGGTTATGTGGACCAGGCACTGTTCTGTGTCATGCCCACACTCTCTCTCTTTTGCATTCTGTCATTCTCTCTCTTATTGACTGTCTCCCTGGAGCCCTCTCATTCACATTTGTCTTTCTCCTTAATCACACTTTCAAACTCCTTCGTGCTCACACACTCTCTCACTCATGTTCTGCCTTTTTCCTTCTCTCTCCCTCATGCATACACTCTCTGTCCCTCCCTCCCTGATGCCCTTTCTCTCTCATGCCTGCTCCCTTTCTCTCTCCCTTGTGCCCAGTTTCCCTCCGTCATGTTCTGTCTTTCTCGCTCTCTTCCTCATGCCCCTTCTCCCTCTGTGCCCACGTTCTTTCTTTATCTTTCTCTTTCGTGCTGTCCCTCCCTCATGACTCCCCACACCTCCTCTTTCTCACGCGCTATCTATCTCTTGACCTCTTTCTACGTCCATGCCATTACTCTTGTGTTTTGCCTGTCACCAGCCCAGTGGAGAGGAGAGGGGCACAGTGGGTATTTCATATCATTTAGATGGTTGAACAACACGGATGTGGAATCCTGAATTGTGAGTCTTGGTCCCTGCGGAGGTTGCTGGACTGAGATGCAGGCTGGTTAAGATGTGCGTGTTAAACAGGTCGCTGATGAGTTAAGCATTTTGAGGGGAGTTGGGACGTTGCTAAAGAGATCAGCAATGAAAGATAGCAAGTAGTATATTTCTTGACAGAGTTGAGAGGTTATTAGTGTAACTGTACCACAAACCAGTGTTGGTAATAGCTGCCATCTGTTAGTATGAAAATTGAAACTGTGATGTTTGGCAGGAGGCCAAGTCGAGCTTTCAAAGAACACTCACCACAAGGCCCTCTGGCACAG